TTGACTCATGCGTGAGCAAAGCCACGACTACTCGGGGATACGTCTGCTCGGGGATACGTCTGCTCACCTCCTACCGAAGCCGTATGTAAATGGACTGATGTCTTCACGCAATTTGCCTGTCGCATCCAACCATCGAGTTGGCCTGAACTCGTCCGGGTCTGGGAAGACATCTGGATCGTGCCCGATGGCCCTGAGTCATTCGGTTAACGCTCATAAATCTTGCGTATGTTTACATATTGCTAACCAGTGGTTGCCGAAAACTGCAGTGCCCACAGGGATGACATACTGGTTCTACAGGAGCAGTTAAATTGACGAAGTTATAGTGCCATATCGCGTTCAGAGTCTCACGCACCCAGATGATATCGCTGGTAGCACGATGTGCGACCCCTGGGAAAGTAAAGATATGCAACGTTGAGGAAGAGAGTCTCAGAATGACGCTCACCTCCCCAGCTGATTGGCCTCCAACGGAAGGTCTCAAGGTAGAAAGCAACCACTAACGGCAGTAGCTTCTCGTCGTCGAACGTAGGGACTGCGTGTAATGGTAAGGTATATTAAGCACCCCAAGACTCAACAATTGGTCGTTTACCTCTGTCTTTGCCAACTATACTGTCCAGCTGCACCTGTATTTCTGCTTGAACTTCGGGATGAGTGGCCGCAGCCAAAATCACGAAGGAGATCGCAGTTGCAGTCTAGGCGAGTTAGCAACACCGAGCACAGACGAGCGAACAGAACGCCTAACCGAATCTGATCCAGCTCCGAACATCGACCCAGCTAGATACGCCAGCTCGTCGTTCGAGAGTCCATATTCCTCTTGGTGTTCCAAGAGATAAGTTGTGAACGAAGGTTGTGCACTGTGCGCTCTCTGAACGCTTGCGTTAGCATCAAGCGGGTCCACTCAGACTCCAATGAACTCACAACTTGCGCCCTTACGCCTTCAACCATTCTAGAAAACAGCGCCAGTTCCTCCTCATGCCACCTACGGAGCGTCGCTGTCACGAACGGCACGTGTCTGAGCAAAGGATACCGGTCCACAATGTGCTGACCCGCGGGCATGACTTTCCCGAGGCGCGTCGTATGCATATTAACCTCCACCACTTCGGGGTCGCTGTACTTCGTCGGCGTCGTCTTGCCGTACGTCATCGTCAGGATCAGGCTCGCGGCGAATCTGCACGGTGTCAGCTAAGCGGCGCGTTGAAGAGGACTGCGAGCGTACCGTTTTGTGTGATTGATGTGGTCCTCAGGGTCGCGGAGAATGTCTAGTATGACGTCCAGCGCGCATTTGAATTGGATAGGTTTGTGCTGCACGGCGGCTGTAGGCTGTAGCTGCGAGTGCAACGCTCTATGTGCACTTGATCGTCAAACGCCTCTTGTCGATGAATCAACTTGGAAGCTCGCACCTCCTCAGCCTCCTCAACCTCTCACCCGCGTCAACGAGCAACGTGCGCATGCTGCCTGAGAGAAAGTCTCCAGCGGCGATGTGATCAGGGCGGCCAGCGAGGTCCGCGCCGTGCTTCTGCATAATCTCCACTACATCCTAGATCCGTCTTTTGTGAGAAATCAGAGCGGAGGCAAAATAAAGTAGCTGACCTTGTAGCTGTTGATGATGCAATAGACCTGATTACCTCGCTTATATGAGAACACGGGACCATATGTCTTCGCCATCTCCGCATGTTTCAAAGGCGCCCTCAGTACCTCATCAGTCAAGCTATTACAGTACAACTTGGAGACATGGCCACTCACTTCGGTCCAGGCTCAAACCAGCTTACATCAGGACCTGGTGGGAGCGGTACGGCCTTCTTCGTGATGTGCACGAAGCGAGACGCTACGCGAATAATTAGCAGCACGCAGATTAGCGCGAGTGCCGGTATCTGGGCACTCTTCAGAGAATGCACGAGGAAATCGGCCATGTTACCACAAGCCTGGGAAGAGCACAGGGTCAGGTTCAGGATGCTTGCGCGAGACATGGGATATATACCCTTCGGTCCTTCTCACTTGACCGTGTGATCGCCGCCGGGGCACGCCTCGTGACGGAAGACGGCATCCGCTTACATACCCCACAAAGCAACTATCCTGAGAACAGTGAGAGCTGAGAAGCTGGCCTCTACGTGATAGGCATTCTGCAACCCCCGTGGGGAGAGTGGAGCCCGAAACGAACTGCGTACGAACCTGATGTTTGATCAGGGAGACGAGACGCCTCGACGTCGAGACAATCTTGTTCCGGGACCGTTGCGCTGACAACTTTCCGTTCTGCTTGCCCCCAGATGCGTGAGATACACAGGGTCCGCTGTACTTGATAGTACTCAACGCGGTCGCGCGCGTGACGCAGTGGCATGCCGTGGTACCGAGATGCGAAGTGCGGAGAATGCGACAAGGCGTGTCCAGTAAACACGCTTTAGCGGTATTCTCAATAGAATCGTGCAGGCGGGGATTCCGGATCCGCGAGTAAACTCGAGTCACTCAGAGCCAACGTCCATTAGAAACAGGAAGCGGTGAACCAAACGGGCGCCAGCGTTCAGAACGCTTGCGCATCACATCTAAATATGGCATAACCGCGCGCCAAGCGGGGCGCGCCTGATGCGCTTCCGCGGCGCCTCAATTGGCATCTGTTCATCTCGAGCATCTGGTCGATGGCGCCACGGTGCTTGATGTCGACCTCGGGTGTCGAGGTCATCCTGCCAGCTGAGTGCGCTTTATCCAGCTTTCGTCGTCACGCTGATGGGAAACGATGTCAGGGTCTGCGCGGACGCTGAGAAGAGTCTTCCATATACCCCGGGGAAGTCCTCACGGGCGTGAGCACCACGGGATTCCTTGTGAGCGATATGATGTTTCGGACGGCGAGCTGAGGGGGCCTCAGTGAATTCGGAGAACCAGATCATGCTCTTGTCCTCACTGCCGATCTGGTCGTGGCTCAAGTTGTAGATCTGGCGGATCTCCCGGACACCCTCGCCCAAGGCTGTCAACGAACGTGTGCATACTATGCATCCGCTACATGCACACCGGAAGACAGCAGCGTCAGCTTCTGCATGTCAAGGTCGCCGGCGTTTCTGGTCTTGTCGAGGTACTTGGCGCTGTAAATCAAATCAAATTGGGGCCGGCCTGGTAATCTTCTTGCGGGGCTTCACAAGAGTCAAGGTTTCCTTGATGTGATGAGCGTAAGCACGACCGAAGACAACGATGTCGAGGAGCGAGTCTGCATCAAGGCGGCTCACGTCATAGACAGAGACACATGCAGCCTCACCAGACCAGAAATAGTCTTGTCTTTGTCGTTCTCATCAACGAAGATGGATTCACAAGTGTGGTGAGTAGGAA